AGAGAGAGAGAGAGAGAGAGAGAGAGAGAGATGGGCAATTCGAGGACGGATCCCAGCGGGGGAGATGACGCAGATGTCCAGATCTTGACCGCCGGGAAGAGGAGAATTCCTGTTCGTTCCAAAGTTCTGGTGAGCTGCATCTTCTTTTCTTCTCTCTGCGCTCGTAAGAACGGGGTGTGTATATGTGTATGATTGGTTGTGTTTCTTGTGTGAAGGCGGCAGCGTCGCCGGTGTTAGAGAGCATGTTGGATCGGCCGCAGAAACGTGGGGGAGAAGGAAGAGTGATTCCGATACTTGGAGTTCCTCACGACGCAGTGTGTGCCTTCGTTCGCCTGCTCTACTCCGCCAGGTTCGTCGGTCATCTCCTTGATTCCTTAACTCCGAAGCAAGTCTGTACCATTCAAATCGGAAAAGCCTCCACCAACCAATGCAACCTTGGTTTCTAGTGCGGCGGCGGTGGTGCTAAAGGTCTCCGTGTGATGACGTAGATGGGACAGGGTTGGCACCACCACGACCACCACCACAGGAGAGAGTTCAAAGAGAGGGTAGAAAAGAGCTCTGTTTTGATTGCGATGTTAGTCCTGTTATTGATCCAAACCACGCAATTCTCGTGCTCCACAGATTTCAACCTCCACTTTGAATCATCATCATCATGCCTGTTCACCTGTTATTTTCTCGAGAACCCCATTGCAAGGACAATGGACGATCCCACCTCTGCCATGTAGGTCCACACCATGAGAGCTAGCCGCCAAGATCTGAAACCTGCCTCTCCAACGATGCATTTAGGACTCCACAGTTCAATCTCTGTCGGTGTTGGATTTCTCATGGTAAGATTCATCACTACAGGAGTTGTGTGACGCCTGCGGTCGAGGGGGAGGAGGCGACGGAGGTGGGCGAGCACGGGGTGCACTTGCTGGTCCTGTCGCACGTGTACCAGGTGGGGTGGCTGAAGCGGGCGTGCGAGCGGGCGCTGGCATCGCGGCTGACGGCGGAGGGGGTGGTGGACGTGCTGGTGCTGGCACGGCGGTGCGACGCGCCCTGGCTGCACCTCCGCTGCCTGAGGCTCATCGCCAGGGACTACGCCGCCGTCGAGAGCACCGAGGCGTGGCGCTTCCTCCAGGACAACGACCCCTGGCTCGAGCTCGACATCCTCCAATCCCTCCAAGACGCCCATCTGGTACCGACATCGCACCACTCCGATCTTTATCCTTCCGGCATTAGTTGATATTGACGGCGCGTACTATACGAATGATCTCAGAGGCAGAAGCGGCGGCGGCGGAAGAGGGAGGAGGAGAAAGTATACACGGAGCTGAGCGAGGCCATGGAGTGCTTGCAGCACATCTGCGCGGAGGGCTGCACCGAGGTCGGGCCATCCGGCCGCGGACCGCCGCCGCGTGACCCCACCCATTGCCCGAACCCCGCCACCTGCCGTGGCCTCCAGCAGCTCATCCACCACCTTGCCGCCTGCGACCGCAAGAAGAAGCCGCCGCAACAGCAGCAGCAGCAGCACGGCTGCCCTCGCTGCAAGCGTCTGTGGCAGCTCCTCCGTCTCCACTCCGCCATCTGCGTCCACCCCGACCCCTGCAAAGTCCCCCTCTGCTCGTAAGCATCCTGCAGCCTTCGCCACCTGCTACTTCCTCCTGGTCACTGACCAACTTGTCCTTGTTCCTCTATTGCTCTGCAGCCAATTCAAGCAGAAGATGGAGCAAACCAAAAGGAAAGCAGAGGAGGAGGAGGACGAGAAGTGGAAACTACTGGTGAAGAAGGTGGCCTCTGCAAGAGTCATGTCCCACTTGGCCAAGAGGAAAAGGCAAGAAGGGATACAAAACCAGGAAGCTTGGCTGAAGCAGAAGCTCATTGACTGAGTGATCAATCCTTCGGTTGACTTTGTTCTACCAAGTCAAATTTATACCAAATCCAGGGGGATGAATCATTTGCTCTATCTAGAAATCATCTTTATGTAGGTGAATTATGTGATATGGTGACCTCTATCTTCTACATTTCATCTGAAGAAAGAAGTCATGGAGGAAATGTTTAAGCTCTGTACACAATTATCTCCGGTACTCTGTATGCATGCATGTCAATAAAAAAATACATGTAGCACATACATCCCTCCAATATTAAGACTCTTTCCATAATTATACTCCAAAAAATATTCATTTTAATTACAGTTCCTTCGAGATTTTTATTATCATAACATTAACATCATTTAGTGTTTCAATTAATAACCAAATAATAGTTTTTAACATATGAGAGATTACTCACCTATGCAAGTTTTTAGGTTTCACTATAATATAAGCTAAGCTTAAAATTTAGAGGATAAATATTAAAATCATACATATTAGAGGGATATATATATTTATTTTTATTTAAGGCATAATATGTTCTTTTTTGGAAGGAAACTAAATATGGAAATATTGAGATAATTTGACACCTTTAAGGAGGTTATTCGTAATAGCATGATTATAGAGGGCTTATTTGCAAAAGTACTATCCTATATAAAACCGGCGACGCCCCTCACCCCCTTATCTCTTCTCTGCCTCCAATCCATGGCGGCAGGCACGGCCGTCAACCCCATTCCCATGGCGGAAGGCCTTCCCCTGTCTCTGCCAGCCGCTCTCTTTTCTTCTGTTCCCCCTCCCTCTCTCCTCCCGTTTCCCCGCTCCTCCAGGCCCCTCCGCTTTCCCCGCCTCTCTCGCTCCTCTTCGTTGCTGCCCTTTAGAAAGATCCTTCCTTTGCCACCCTTCGTGGCACAGTCCTCCGGCTGGACCCTCCAGGCGGAGGAGGAGGAGGAGGAGGAGGAAGTGGAGGAGAATGAGCTCGAAGATGGAGGTTTTGGCTTGGAAGGGCTCGAGGGGGAAACGGAGGACGGGGTGGAGCCTTATGGCGAGCCGGCCGAGGAGGCGAAGCTCTTCGTCGGGAACCTCCCCTACGATATGGACAGCGAGAAGCTGGCTCAGCTCTTCGATAAGGCTGGAGTCGTCGAGGTCGCCGAGGTAATGTAGATTCGATGGGGTCTTGCAATTGAAATAGAAATTGGAGGATTCCGATTCTTCTATTCTTGTGTTGTTGTTGGGATATGATAATGGCATTGAGATCTGTGCGATTCTTGGGTCATGGTTGTGGATATGCAGGTGATATACAATCGGGGGACTGATCAGAGTCGTGGATTTGGATTTGTGTCCATGAGCACGATTGAAGAAGCAGACAAAGCTGTGGAGATGTTTCATCGTTCTGTAAGTCTTCTTCGAGTCTGAGCTTTTCTTCCTGGATCCAATAATTTCTCCATATACACGCTCAAAATGCTTCCCCTTAGAACTGTTGAGAAAAAAAATGAAAATATATGTTATGGTTGCTCTGACGCTAATTAGGTCTTTCTTTATCTTGACTGCATCCACTTGATCATGAACATTGACTTATGAGGCTTGTTGATGATTGATCCAGAGTGCTGTCCTGCAGTAAATGATGAACTAAGCACAATCAATCTCTTCAAAATATAATGCTTGGGATCTCCATTCTCATGGCCATTTTCAGAGATTCTCTTGCAGCAATTACTTCTGCTTTGTCTGCCTAATAAATTGCATCTGTAAATTGGGAAACTGCATAATGACCATCCTGAATTACAGAGCCATTGCAGTCCTCCAGTGACATCATTTGCTGTGTCAAAATTGACATTGAAAAATTTAGTGGGAGGTTGCAATATAGCATTGTGTGACACCTTTTGGAGAATTAGTGATTTGTTTAGGTTTAAGGCTGGTAGTAATGTAAATATTACATTTTATCTTTACACACTTCTCTGGTTACTGTTTGCTGTTCTGGAAATAGACCTGATTCCTAAATTATAATGCTCCGCACTATGGTGAATAAGATCTCTTGTTGATCTGCATTTGAGTGCGTGAGAAGTTTTCTGCCCTTTTGTTAACGTATGAGCCTGCAGAGCATCAGATCTTAACGCTAGTGGACATAGAAACCAAGGACACTGAACTCTGCAACATTGGAAGAAGACATGAGGTTGACCGTCTGATTGAGAACCAAATCTATAAGAGCTTTTATCTGATAGAACTCTGTTTGCTAGTCCTTTTTGTGACTACGCGGTCCATTATAAATGGCTCACCAAACAAAATTTTTGATTTTAGGAGGGAGCCTTAATAGGGCATGCGAGTGTTCTTTGTAGTACAAGCACTCATAAAACATATTCTTCAGAGAAACCAAGTACAACTTACATATCAGACAAGTGTCATATTAAGATCTCTAACGGCTGACACTTTGAACATTGGTAGAGAAGTTATAGTGTCACTTCTAGTCATATTCATAGAAATGTAAACATATTGGTGCATGCTGTAGCAAAACTTTGTAACCTGAATGCATCTGCTCACAACCGTAGAGCAGATTTCAGCAGGTTCTTGTATCTGAACCAAATTACTAGCCCTCAATTGGGCATTTAAAGAAGGGTAGTTTTTTCTTCAAATTAAAAAAAGAATAGTAGATTACTTAAAACTGTGATAATAGATATACAAAGTGTGATATAACAAGAGCACCAAATTGCAAGATGCTATTTTCAGAATCCAAAATACTATCAATAAAACTAACACTAGATGGCGCCTATAATCTTTTGATTAGCAATAAGGTCAAATCATCAAACACCTCAAGATGAGAAGCACTGCATTGCTGATTCTTTTTTTCTCTTTATTTACTTATGGAGGTGAATCCAATAGAATGAGAAATAGACCCTATAAAAAATCATGAGCTCACGAAGATAGTTAAATCTGACCCAAATAACATCAACCCATAGAGTAGGTAGAAAAATTGGATTTCACTGAAAAATAGGGCTACTATGTCTACTGTATGATGTACTGTGACTACGACAAAGTGAGCTTTGGCACTTGCCATACAATTGTAGTCGCTGTGGTGTCTGTCATGGAGCCGAAACAGTCTATACGAGTTCTACGATACAGCATGTCGTCTATGCCTTAAGACCCATCGTACTCTGGCAGCCTCGCCATGGATTTTCTTTATAGTTATTTTAACTTATTAACTTCTTCCGATTCTTAATTCTTGTACGACTTAAGACATAAAATGGCTAACAAGAGTCATGAAATTTACCTAGTAAACAGTTTTGATAACTATTTGATCTTAACTTTGTTAACTACAAGTCTTCTTTCAGTGTTCTCTTTATTGTTCATACAACTAGCATTCAGAATAGACTAAGTATATTTGGTTAGAGAGTATGACTATGTTTGGTTTGAGAATACTTGCTCTAGCTTAACAGTGTAGCCAGCTTAGGAAAACGAAGTACTCGTTTAAAACTCTTTTTGGTGACTTTAATTAGATTATCAATATCTACTTAATCTCTGATGTTTTCCAGCTTTCCTGATTGTTATATTAGACCTAAATCTTAGGTGCCGGGTGGATGATTCTTTGATGGTCAAACTCTTTTATCAGATATCTGTTCAAATTTTTGCATTCAACTTGTAATATGCTTCTGGATGTTTTGTTAAAATCAATGTGGCTTCATTCTACTACTGTTGTTCATGCGCTTTCTTGTTCAATGTCTGGCATGGTGTAATCTCTAAACATATGATTTGCTTTATGAATTTTTTCTTATTGCTGCTCCTGTTCTTTTTGATGTTTTACCATGGGCTAGTTTCTTGACATACAATTTGCGTTGTAACTATTTTCTTTGTGTATGTATATGCATATGCATATATACATGTATATTTGTATATTATGAACTAAAAGTTTCCGCCTGCCTTCTTTGCTCTATATGTTGTTTTGATCTCGACTGACACATTATATTCCTAATTGTCTGCAAACTTCGACTGGCATGAAGTGGTTCTTGTTTTTGTGAAAGCAGCAAAATTCAATTTCTCATTATGGTTAAGCTTTTGACTCTAGCACATTTTCTGCTTTGGAAACAGGAAATTAGTGGCAGGCTTTTGACTGTAAACAAATCAGCTCCCAGAGGGAGACGTGCGGAAAGAACACCTCGACAATTTGAACCATCTTTAAGGATCTATGTTGGCAATTTGCCTTGGCAAGTGGATGATGGCCGCCTAGGGCAAATTTTTAGTGAACATGGTAAAGTGCTGGAAGCAAGGGTGGTGTATGATAGAGAGACTGGACGGTCACGTGGTTTTGGCTTTGTTAAAATGGCAGCACAGTCTGAAATGGATGATGCAATTGCTGCTCTTGATGGACAGGTGAGTCCACTTAATTTCGCCAATTGTGTATACTGATGTTAATATCTGCCCAAGTAGATGCCAAGTATGCAAAGCATAATTCTTGGTCCAAAATTGAGACTTTGTGCCTAAACTAGTTGATTCAATGTTAATGATGAAGGAACCTGCTTTACCCGACAATAGTTGTATGGCACAATTTAATAAGGTCCATTATTGGAAGCGTTCCTGTACGCGATTGCATTAAATAAAATTGATCATGAGTTTGATTAATCAAATATTTTTTTGCTATCCAACACCTTCTCACTTATCCCAATCGATTATGATTAGTGTATAACTCATGTTATGGTAGGAAATAATTTTAAAAAACCAGCTATGAACTCCATTCCTTTGATTTTGTCATTCTTGCTTTCTTGATCAATTTTTTCATCCAGTAACTACTGCTTTGTTATTATTCATAGAGTTTCGATGGTCGGGCACTAAGAGTTAATGTTGCTGAGGAGAGGCCACGGCGTGCTGCCTTTTGATGTGGAAAAGCCAAGAATTTCTTTATCTTAAAGATGTTGTTGACTGGAACAAATTACTGTCACAAAACATTTTTTGTTTGCTTTTATAGCTTGTGCCGAGGTACCTCCTCTTCCTGTTCTTTCCTTCTGTTTTTTGCTTAGGACTTCTTATGGTAAAGGTGTGTTTGCATTTAGTCTTTGTAAGTTTTATTGTTTGTGAAACACAGAGGTGAATGCTGTGAGTTCCTCAAAGTTCTGGGAAAAATACTTTTGCCATATTCCCCAAGTTTCATTTATGCAATATTAGTGATGATGTCGAGGAACAGTTCCACTATATTGGGTTTCAGCTTTCAACCTCACGAGTGACATGAGGGAAGCTCTTCTTCTTTACCGATGATTGTCTGATGAGTTAAGAGTTATTGTTCTACGTGAATTCCAAAATTATTGTTTTAGATA